AGCCTTTCTCTTCCTGGTACGTGCCTTCTTCTTTTAAGTCTATAAAGTGTTCTCTTATTGATTGTGCTCGCTCTTTTTCGTTTGGATTCCAAGGTCGTTTCTTTTACTGTTCTGTTTTACTTTGGTTGCCCAGAAAGTGAGAGATTCCTACCAATCTCCCCTGCTTAAGACCTTCTGGAATATAGTACTTTAGGTTCTTCAATTTGGAGCAGTGATATAGAATTAGAAACCAAGGCAGAGGGTAAGGAAATAGTGGGACAGAAATGGGTAATCAATCTCCTGAACTCTGGACTTATAGAGCAAGAACAGTATAAGATGGAATAACAGAGGACATCCAAAGATTTTAAGTAGAGAAGAACATGGGCTTTCTCCATACTTTGACCCATACATGCTGGTGTACATAGAAATTTCCAGTTCATCCCTTTTGGAACAGAAGAGGGTGGTGGTGACTGGTGAGGCGATGAAGGAATTGAAAAGGGTCATTGTTGAAAAATGGTCCTATAATTTTGTCATTTATTCAAAATGACTATATATATTTTTTTCTTCTTCCAAATGGTATCTAAATAATTTCTTTTTGGTACCTTCAGTTAACTCCATGACGGATAGTGTGATGATGCAACCGAAATTTGATTTATATGGTATAGTTGCAACCATAATTCAACTTATATGACTTAGTTGCAACAAAAATAAATTAAGTGGTTAGTGTGCAACATACACTACACTTAAGTGGCAAATCATGCATTTAACCCGGGAAACAAACACACAAATATTCCTATATATTCTGTAGATGTTAGTTCAACTACTTTGGGTAGTTTGAAAACGTATTACAAGAATGTGTGTATTAAGATTATATGTATATTAAGAATGTGTGTTTAAAAATGCTTTGTTTGGAAAACGTAAAAAAATGTATGGATTATACAAAATGCTTTGTTTGGAAAACGTAAAAAAATGTATGGATTATACATATAATGAGCTATGTATACTACACCGAGCCTAGTTTTTTTTTTTTTTTTTTCATAGTAGGAGGCGCAAGCCAAGCAAAGAAAGTTACAAAAGGGGGTGAGGTGAGGAGGAACTATCCTGGCGGGAAACAATCCGCCGCTCGAACGAGACTCTCTGCACATCATCTTGAAGGATGGCCATAACTCCTGACGGCGGGTGCGCAAGCTCATGTAACCCGTAGGGATAGACGAGACTGTGCTTCGAGAGCCAGTCTGCGACTCTATTCCCTTCCCGGTACACATGAACGATGCGCACCAGCCAGTCACGACTCACTCTCCTGCGAATAGCAGCTAATAAAGTGGCATAGGGATGAACTGGATCATGCCTGTTGTTAAGTAACTGAATGGCCAGCTGAGAATCAGACTCGACCACAATCTGCCGGTACCCAGACTTCCAAGCAATATCCAAGCCATGATAAAAGGCCCATAATTCCGCCAGAGCTGCAGTAGCTTCGCCAATCATCGCCACGAATCCAATAATCCAATGCCCCATACCGTCTCTCAAGACGCCACCTGGCCCCGCCGTCCCGGGGTTCCCATTAGAGGCGCCGTCGATATTCAGTTTCACCCACCCCTCCACAGGCGGGCTCCAAGCGATGTTCGCCATAATCCTGTTGACAGAGGTCGCCCTTCGGCTCGGCAACAGAGATGGGGCACTCCAAGCTTCACTCCAGAGTTTAGTCTTGGCAAGAATCGAGTGGGCCAATGATGGAGGAGTGAGGGTGGAGGACAAACCTTTGAAACACATGTCATTTCTGTTCTTCCAGAGGAGCCAAGTGGCAATACTGAACAGAGTCGCCCAACTGACCCCTAGCTGCTCGCACTCCCCCTCTGCCAAGTTCATCCGAAGCCATCTTGCAGTGTCTGCCGAGAAAAAACTTTGTTGATTAGCAATGGGGACCTGCCTTGTCCAGAAATATACCGCCGGAGGGCAATCCCTGAGAATGTGAAGGACAGTCTCAGCTCTCCCATTACACCGCGCACAGTAAGGAGAATCGGCTGACTTCCATGAAAAGCGGAGGACATTAGTCGCAATCCTGCCAAGGCAAACTAGCCACATAAAACAACGAATCCTCTCCGGGACGGGCATGCTCCAAATGATCTTCCAATACTTCTCATCACGATCCACTCCCTGAGGCAGAAGAGACTGGTAGGCAGTCTTGGTGGTGAAATTTCCAGTCGAGGACAGCGACCAGAAAAGAGTATCCTCCTCGGTAGAGAGCTTATCCACCGCCACCCCTGTAATTTTTTGCTGAATCTCTTGCGGAAGAATGTCCTCAAACATTTCGGTGCGCCAGTCTCCATCCTCAGTCACCAGCTCCGCCACCACCTCCTCCATGCGCGAGCTAGGGATCTCCTCGACCACCAGGTTCTTGAGAGGTTCCTGCACAACCCAAGAGTCATGCCAAAATTTAGTGGTATTCCCATTCTTAATATTCCAAGCACATCCCTCTTTTAGAAGGGAGGAAGCTTTGATCAAGCTTTTCCTGGTAAAGGAACTTCCCTGAACATGACGAAAGAGATCAAGATTCTCTTTGTTCCGGCCGTACTTGTCCTTGACCACCTGCGTCCAAAGCACATCCTTCTCTTTTAGAAGTCTCCACCCACTTTTAGCAAGCATAGCAAGATTGGCCTTCCGCACGGAGCGAAGGCCAGCTCCTCCTTGGGTCTTTGGCAGGATCATCTTTTCCCATCCAACAAGGTGGATTTTCGATCTCCCCTCCTCTTCTCCCCATACGAAATCCCTGTTGATATGATCAATAGAAGCACAAATCCCTTTAGGTAGTAACTCAGTGTGCATATGGTGAGTAGGAAGAGAGGAAATGATAGACCTGGAAACAGTGAGACGAGCGGCCAAGGAGAGGCGCTTGGCCTTCCACGGAGCTAGCTTCTTTTGGATGCGCAGGAGGAGGCCCTGGTATCTCCCGAATGTTGACAGAGCCTAATCAAGATTACTGGTAAGCCTAGCTAATCACCGTACTTAATTAACCATTTGCGCTACTAATCCTTCTGTTTAATTAGAGAGCCTAATCAAGATTACTGGTAAGCCTTTTCCTTAATGTCCTCAAGTACTGTCTTATTTGCATCATCGTTCCTCTTTGAGTGAAACATCCAGCCAGCTAGCTAGCTAGCTATGCTAAATCGAAGTATAATTTTGAAATATATGCACTTGCTTGTGAAATGAGGCAAAGAATCGGCCGCAAATTCATGATCTCAATTTCACTATTTCCGGGCATATAAACATTCTTATTCAGCCAATTTGTTGTACCACCTCAAATTATACTACATTTTATGATTGAAGTGGTCTAATAAAACGTTTGATTGCTTGTTTTCAATCAATATGACACAACGTTAGTTCTAACGTGTAAACAAATGTACTCTAGAATAGAGTACATGTCAAGGAAACAGTATGGAGAAAACGGATTGAAGGCGTGATTTTGATCACTCTCCTTAGAGTGTTTATTTGCCCCCACTACGTTGTTGCTGGCAGGATTAAGACAAACCACCCCCAGGAGTCCCTCCAATCAAAGTCAGAAAGCAGCACCTTTCGTGAGCCCCATTCGTAACCGTAACTCTTGTTCGACGTCCCACCTCTTTCATCATCGTCTTCTACATCCAGCTTTCTAAACTCTAATTGGAGTTTGGAAGTACGACGACTGCCTGTTGCTGGGAAGAATGATGTATGGGAAGAAGGATGGGATGCAAAGACGGAGTGGTTATTGCTACAATGACAAAAATGATTTTCTATAAACATCTAGAATGCCGAGAAGATAGGGACGACAAAAAATCAAAACTCCAACACCATTTATCTTTTTCCCCCCCTCTCTTTAGGGTTTAGAACTTCTCTATCAGAGTCTTCTTTTCATAGTCACAATATACATAAGTGTAGATTTAGTTATAGAATTCTAAAAAGAAACCTCCACATGAGTAGATGTAACATAACTTATATTCTTCGTTGTTGGGCAAAAACTCATTCAACCATGGTTATTAGTAATTATTTTAATTACAAGCTGCCCCACTATCTTTTCCCTATATACGCCTATAATCTGATTTTGTTTTGGTATATTATATATGCCCCTTGAGAAGAAACATACACTCAATCATTACCATTCATAACCAAATTTTCAAGATATATATTTGCAATGATATTATTGATCGATGCACTTCAATTATTTTGTTTCCGTTATCATCAAACCCAAAATCATTGTAAGATGTAACACATAAATAATGGAGTAGAATCATTGATCAACACGTAGACGTTTATAAACTAACACTAAATGTTGAATCGATCAGGCAAATTTAGCTGCATATATAGGCCAAGAAAGGAAATATGAAGGCCAAGAATGTGGTTCATATTTAACAATGAAGCTAAAGTAGCTCTGCTTTTTATTTCACTTGTCATCAATTCAGGAGGAAGCTGGGAATATATATACCTTGCAGTCCAATACAAAGACAGAACAAAAGGTTTTCGATGGAAAGATTATGCTTACAGTTTCAAAGAAGACCATTATATATAGCTGCAGCTCGAACAAAAAAGGCAACATTCATCCCAACTCCATTGCTATAAAAAGATAGTCTCTTAATTAATTAGCTCCGAAATGGTTCTATATAATTATACACACGGAAAAATAATACAGACTATTTCATTATTATTCGTCTTCAACCGATTCACAGCTTTAATTAATGTTGGTGTTTTGACATTTATATTTATTTTAGAACAAAGAAAAATACAAAATCATATTAAAATTGAGCATATATTTTCTTAATATTAACGTAGCTAGCAGCCGTCCATGAATTTCCGAATAAATTATTTTATTCTAAGGCTGTTCCCAAATCTCAATCCGTATTTTTGTTGTTTTTGTGTAATGTCTAGTCTGTTCTGTCCAACTGGCTGCATGTAATGTACATATATGTCTCAACTGTTTTTGTGCAGCCAAGTACGATACATGAAGACAGAGGAATGTTCATTGGACATTAAAAAAAACAAAAAAAAAAAAGAGTCAGATTTGGTTTCATTGCAATGCAATAGCGTTATTCTGCTAACTGTGTTAGTAGTTAGCATATACTAACACGGTGAGATGAGAAGCCACGTAGGCGAGCCGCGATCGGACGGTGGAGTGGAAGAAGAGCAGCTTGTGGCTCGGCTGAACCAAGCCTCTTCCGTTTTTTTTTTACAATTAAAAAAAAACAACCTTTTCATTTATGTTTCATTTTCTTTTCTCTCTCCATCATTTCATTTTCCTTTCTCTCCCACTCTCCAAAACTGCTCTCTTCTGTTCTTCTTCTTCTTCTTCCTCTCTCTCTCCCAAATAATTCAAAATACCTCTCGACAACGACAGGTGTGAGAAACACGACGCCGGCGACGAGGGATACAGGCAGGAAGAAGACGGCGGTGCTTGGCAACGCCGGTAGCGGTGCTTGAAGAAAGACGAAGTCGGCCGAGCAAGAAGGAAGACATCGACGCTAGTAGCGCGAGTAAGACGACTACACCAGCTGCGAAGAGAAGAAATTTTTTGAGGTAAGCATCTTCCTTTGATGTAGGTGTTTTGGATCTGAGATTCATTGTTAGGGATCTGGGATTCTTGTCGGGGGATTTGAGATTCGATTTGGGGGATCTGGGATTCTTTTGATTTGGGGGATTTGGATTTCTTTCGATTTGGGGGATCTGGGATTTTCTGTGGCTGGATTACATATATTTGATTTAGGGTTTCATAGATTCGACTGGATCTGAGTTTTTTTTTTTTTTTTGCTTCGTTTAGATTCGACTGGATCTGAGATTCATTGTTAGGAATATGGGATTCTTGTCGGGGGATTTGAGATTCGATTTGGGGGATCTGGGATTTTCTGTGGCTGGATTACATATATTTGATTTAGGGTTTCATAGATTCAACTGGATCTGAGTTTTTTTTTTTTTTTGCTTCGCTTTTTGGATCTGAGATTCATTATTAGGGATCTGGGATTCTTGTTGGGGGATTTGAGATTCGATTTGGGGGATCTGGGATTCTTTTGATTTGGGGATTTGGATTTCTTTCGATTTGGGGGATCTGGGATTTTCTGTGGCTGGATTACATATATTTGATTTAGGGTTTCATAGATTCGACTGGATCTGAGTTTTTTTTTTGCTTCGTTTTTTGGATCTAAGATTCATTGTTAGGGATCTGGGATTCTTGTTGGGGGATTTGAGATTCGATTTGGGGGATCTGGGATTCTTTTGATTTGGGGATTTGGATTTCTTTCGATTTGGGGGATCTGTGATTTCTTGTTGGGGGATTTGAGATTCGATTTGGGGGATCTGGGATTCTTTTGATTTGGAGATTTGGATTTCTTTCGATTTGGGGAATCTGTGATTTTTTTGTGGCTGGGATTTCTTTCGATTTGGATTTCTTTTAATTTGGGGGATTCGTTTTTTTATGTCGATATTGTTTGGGGTTTCTGGATTTTGCTCGTTAATTTGATATTTTTTTAGCTGGAAAATTGTTTAGCTGGCATGGGATACCATTTAGTTTAATGTGGATATTGTTTGGTGGTTGATTGTTCGGATATTGGTTATGTGATGCATAGATATTTGTATGCTAGGTCTGGATATTTTTATGCCATGATGGATATTAGTTCAATGATATTAGCTATTTTCTCACTTCGTTTCTCGATTAGTTATATTGGCTAAAAAAAATAAACTGATGTGTTTGATGTGTGGATATCACTTCTGTTAATGTGGATACCTATCTGTTCGTTTTAGTTATTTTTCTGGGTATTATGGATATTTTTTCATGGATATCAGTTATCTCCGTTTGGATACACTTTTGCTTTACTACGATAATAATTGTATGTATTTGCAAAAAAAAATAAACTGATGTGTCTGATGTGTGGATATCAGTTCGGTTAATGCGGATACTTAAATGTTCGTTTTAGTTATTTTTCTGGGTATTATGTATATTTTTTCATGGATATCAGTTATTTCCGTTTGGATACACTTTTGCTTTACTACGATAATAATTGTATGTATTTGCAAAAAAAATAAACTGATGTGTCTGATGTGTGGATATCAGTTCGGTTAATATGGATACTTAAATGTTCGTTTTAGTTATTTTTCTGGGTATTATGGATATTTTTTTATGGATATCAGTTATCTTCGTTTGGATACACTTTTGCTTTACTACGATAATAATTGTATGTATTTGCAAAAAAAATAAACTGATGTGTCTGATGTGTGGATATCAGTTCGGTTAATGTGGATACTTAAATGTTCGTTTTAGTTATTTTTCTGGGTATTATGGATATTTTTTTCATGGATATCAGTTATCTCCGTTTGGATACACTTTTGCTTTACTACGATAATTGTATTGTATATAAGTGTGTGTTTTAGTTATTTGTCCAAGGATTATGGATATTTTGCTTAATATATAACTGTGTTTCAGGAACAACCCGGGATGAAGAGAGCGAAAATGGTTGCATCGAGATCTCGTCAAGGAGAAAAAACAAGGCAGCCTGCTATTCCAGAAGTTGTGAATTTCATTTGGATTTGCATGTGTGATGTAGTACGAACTCATCCTAGTAATTAGTAATTAAGCAATGGTTTCAACTTTCACGGGGAACTTGGATTTGTATGTATGACCAAGAACGATAAAACAGTACCAAAAAGTTAGTGGTAGAGTATTTTGTGTTGAATCCGTGGTGTACCTGTCATTTCAGTTGTTTCACTACGGGGAAAACAATCTGAAACCATTATGCTCAGATTCAATTAAATATCCAGACAACCCAGACAAATACCAAGACAACCCGGACAAATATCCAGACAACCCAGACAAATTATTTAAAATAACTATCAGTTCCTTAGTAAAAAGTATTAAAATCTTTTCAAAAAATATCCACAACACACAAACAAATATCCACTATTTGTACCCTAACCCTAAACTTTAAACTCTATCACCCTAATCACTAAACTATAAAAAAATAAAAATATTTTTGTTTTCCCAAGCTGATAATATTCAAAGGTTCCAGAAAAATATCCAAACACATGAACTAAGGGAATATTTCATCGGGCTCAAATAAATATCCACACAACCCGGAAACAAATCAAAATATTTTGAATAAATATCAGTATGTCAGAAACAAGTATTACAACTAGGAAACACAAGTATCCACAACACACAAACTAATATCTAATATTTGTACCCTAACCCTAAAACCTAAACCCTAAACGTTAAACTCTATCACCCTAATCAATAAAACACTAAAAAAATAAAACTATTATTGTTTTTCCAAGTTGAGAATATTCAAAGGTTCCACACAAATATCCAAACACATGAACTAAGAGAATATTTCATCAGTTTCAAATAAATATCCACACAACCTGGAAAAAAATCACAATATTTTGAATAAATATCAATATGTCAGAAACAATTATTACCACTAGGAAAGACAAGTATCCACAACACACAAACTAATATCTACTATCTGTATATCAGAAACAAGTATTACAACTAGCCAAAACAAGTATCCACAACGCACAAACTAATATCTATTATTTGTACCCTAACCCTAAACCCTAAACCCTAAACTTTAAACTCTATCACCCTAATCACTAAACACTAAAAAAATAAAACACATGAACTAAGGGAATGTTTCCTCAGGTTCAAATAAATATCCGCACAACCCGGCTAAATATCCGCAGATTCAAATAAACTCTATCACCCTAAACTCTAAACCCTAAACCCTTAACCCTAAACCCTAAACAATGAACACTACTAAATAAACTCTAAAAACAATATAATTAGGAAAGAATAGATATTTATACTGACCAGACTAAATCTTAAACCCTAAAGAGAACCCAAACCCTTATGTTGAAACATTAACCCTAACCTCTATACCGTAAACCGTAAACCATAAACCAAACCTAAACAATCAACCCTAAAAAATAAACTATAAACAATAAAAACTAATATTATTTAATGGGCCTTCGGCCCATGGGCCCTCGGCGGGCAGCCCTAACTAAGGTTGCAAGCCTTACGTGTTAGGACTTGATAGTGTGTAGGACTTGCTAGTGTGTTTAATTTGATGTAAGACACAATATTCCAATCTTTCACAAATTGAAAACCAGAACTCTAAACCCTCATCAAACTTGGCCTCGCTGTCGACGTAGTAGAAAAGATCAGTAAGATGATTTTTGGAACTTATGCCAAAATATCCACACAAGTATTACAACTTATGCCAAAATTTTTGTTAGTAAAAAGTATTACAACTAGAAAAAACAAGTATCCACAACACACAAACTAATATCCACTATTTGTACCCTAACCCTAAACCCTAAACCCTAACCCTAACCTTAAACCCTAACCCTAAACCCTAACCTTAAACCCTAACCCTGAACCCTAACCCTAATATCCACAACACACAAACTAATATCCACTATTTGTACCCTAACCCTAACCCTAAACCCTAACCCTAACCTTAAACCCTAACCCTAAACCCTAACCCTAAACCCTAAACCCTAAACTTTAAACTCTATCACCCTAATCACTAAACACTAAAACAATAAAACTATCAAGATGTGCTCAATCCGAGAATATTCTAAGGTTCCACACAAATATCCAAACACATGAACTAAGTTAATATTTCCTCAGATTCAATTCAAATATCCAAACACATGAACTAAGGGAATATTTCATCAGGTTCAAATAAATATCCACACAACCAGGAAACAAATCAAAATATTTTGAATAAATATTAGTATGTGAGAAACATGTATTATGACTAGGAAAGACAAGTATTCATACAACCCAGACAAATATCCAGACAACCCAGAAAAATATCCAGACAACCCAGACACATATCCAGCAACCCAGAAAAATATCCAGATAACTCAGACAAATACCCAGACAACCCAGAAAAATATCCAAACACATGAACTAAAGGAATATTTCCTCGGGTTCAAATAAATATCCACACAACCCGGAAAAACATCATAATATTTTGTATAAATATCATAATGTCAGAAACAAGTATTACAACTAGGAAAGACAAGTATCCACAACACACAAACTAATATCTACTATTTGTACCCTAAACCCTAAACTTTAAACTCTATCACCCTAATCACTAAACACTAAAAAAATAAAACTATTATTGTTTTCCCAAGCTGAGAATATTCAAAGGTTCCACAAAAATATCCAAACACATGAACTAAGGGAATGTTTCCTCAGGTTCAAATAAATATCTGCACAGCCCGGAAACAAATCATAATATTTGGAATAAATATCAGTATGTCACAAACAAGTATTACAACTAGGAAAGACAAGTATCTACAACACACAAACTAATATCTACTATTTGTACCCTAAACCCTAAACTCTATCACCCTAATCACTAAACTATAAAAAAATAAAACTATTATTGTTTTCCCAAGCTGATAATATTCAAAGGTTCCAGAAAAATATCCAAACACATGAACTAAAGGAATATTTCCTCGGGTTCAAATAAATACCCACACAACCCGGAACAAAATCATAATATTTTGAACAAATATCAGAATGTCAGAAAAAGTATTACAACTAG